GCCCCTGTACTCAGCATTGGTGAGGCCTCACCTTGAGTTCTGTGTTCAGTTTTGGGCACCTCAATATAGAACGGACACTGAGGTGCAGGAGCAGCTCCAAAGAAGGGCAACATGGCTTGTGAAGGGCTTGGAGAATATGGACTAGGAGGAGAGACTGAAGGAACTGGGCTGTTCAGTCTGGGAAAAAGGAGGCTGAAGGGAGACCTTATTGCTCTCTTCCAATACCTGAAAGGTGCTTACAGCGAGAGCAGGGCTGGTCTCTTCTCATTGGTGACAGAACAAGGGGAAATGGCCTCAAGTTCTGCCAGGGTAAGTTTAGGTTGGATATCAGGAAAAACTTCTTTACAGAAAGGGTTGTTAAGCACTGGAATGGGCTCCCCAAGGAGGTGGTTGAGTCACCATCCCTGGATGTGTTTAAAAACAGCTTGGATGTGGTGCTCAAGGCCATGATTGAGCAGAGGGTTGTTAGAATTAGGGTAGGACGGTTAGGATGAGGTTGGACTCGATGATCTTTAAGGTATTTTCCAACCTGATAGAATTCTATGATTCTAACACACTTGTTCCATGAAGTATTTACCCCCAACATGGCAACAGTGGGCCACTGCTCTTACATGTGTGCAAGAGAAACTCTGTCAAGAACCCACTCACCTTAACACTGCGGAACAGGTCTTTTTCTCTCGCAGAGGCTTCTTTGGACTGCATGAAGTTATGCAAGGCAATCTTTGCAGCTGTAAAAACACAGGAAGGATTTGAAGATTGAAACGTGCTCTAGCTTCCAGTGCTGAGGATTCATCTGCTTTAATACAGTACCTTTTCCTTTCTTTTGGGTGCCTGGAGTGAGCTTGACTTTATACCTTTCAGAAGGAAAAGTTTCTGTCAGTCCCAGGGCCGAATGCCCCCAAACCTCCCCCACAGCAAAGGCTGCAACTCACTTGTAGTTTGTCATGGCTGTGTAGGGAGCGCAGATGGGCACAGCAAAGAGCAGGATGTCCTCAGCATGTGGCTGGCCTGTCAGCGAGTCCAGCAGGGCTGTGCCGTCCTGAAGGGGAAGGAGGCACACTGTGACAGCAGGAGCAGCACCCAACCCAAAACAACCACCCCACTTCATGGGGAAGCTGAATGCTGTTCCCTTCCCAACCACCCGCAGGTGCCACGTGACAAATGTCCTGCTGTGGTTACTGAGATGTGATACATTTAGGCTCAGCACTCTCCTCACTGGTATTTAATTCCCAAACTATCGCTCATGACAGACCAGCCTGGAGAAGAGAAGGCTGCAGACTGACTTCATTGCAGCCTTTCAGTACTTAAATGGAGGCCATAAACAGGATGGGAGTCAACTCTTGGAAAGGGGAGATAACAGCAGGACAAGCGGAAATGGTTTGAAGTTGAGGGAGAGCAGATTTCAGTTGGATGTCAGGGGGAAGTTGTTTGCTGTGAGAGCGGTGAGGTGCTGGAACAGCTGCCCAGAGAGGCTGTGGATGCCCCATCCATCCCTGGAGGTGTTCAAGGCCAGGTTGATGGGGCCCTGGGCAGCCTGGGCTGCTGTGAGATGTGAAGGTTGGTGGCCCTGCGTGTGGTGGGGGGTTGGAGCTTCGTGATCCTTGAGGTCCCTTCCAACCCTGGCCATTCTATAATTCCATGATTCTATGATTACTGAAGTCACACCACTCAAAGCAGGACGGATCTCAGTTTTCAGTGACCCAAATGAGACTCCCAAATGCAGTCACATCTTCACAGGGTCACCAAAAGCTCCCTCCTACCGTTATCTTTTAATTAAAAAGGTTTTAAGGATCCAGCTAATGACCAGCCTTGGGCAACACCCACAGCCTGTAATTGTATATACAACACTTTGAAGCTTTTTTTTTTTTTTTAATGTAAATAAACTTCTAAATCAAACTGCACTGCATCAGCCTTTGTCACCCTCCAGCCCAGAGCCACCTACCTACTACTGAGCAGTGCAAAGACCTCCAAAGACAGGTACCAACCTTCAATTCAGACAGCTTCCATAAGGGAATGTGGTATGTGATAAACAGTGTAAGAAGAAAGCTGGGTTCGAATAGCCTCGAGCACAGAGGGAGCCCTAAGAGCAGAACCAAACCCTTCTGGAGGGCTCAGCACATGAACCTCCAAGCCAGTCCCAACCTGCTGAGAGCCAGGTTTGTGCCCCTGGTGCTGCTGACACAGAGCTGCATGCTACAGCATGGCCCAACAGCTCTGAGGGGGAGTAAACCCTTCTCCTCAGCACATTTTGGAATTTCAAAGATGAGAACATTCTTACCTCCACTCCCGGCTGATCCTGGTCTTGCTCATCCTGTAAACAAGAAAAAAAGATAGAGCTGAAATGAGCACATACCTGCTTGTTGATCCCTGAGCCCATGGAGAAAATCAGTTCTTTTATCAGCACGACACAAGAAGCCAAATTCTCACTGCAGAGATAAATTGTTTTAAAGGTAAAAAGAGCATTTTTATATAGGTGAGGGAAGGCTATTTCTTTCAGACCTCCTCATTAGTTTGGCACACACCAAACTGGGAGGAGAGAGATGGGCTATGATTCAGAGATACTGATTCACAACGTCAGAGCTGGGGAGCTCTCGGCTGCACTTCAGCTGCACCAAGTGGGAGGTATTGACTTAACCCGACCCTTGGCAGACTGGTGATGTACTCAAACCTTCCTCCTGGCTGTGCTGAGAACACAGCATGCACATGGATTGCTGCAGGGTCTTTTTGCTGCTCCTGGAAACCAAAGGGCTCCTGGAGACAGGGCATTAGGCATGCTCATCTCCACCAGCACCCCAAAAACCAGCTCAGCCACCCAGGCAGAACTGCACTACGCAGCACCAGCAGACCACAGCAGCGAGTGAGAAGGAACAGATGTGTGGGCAGGAGAGAAGAGGCAGCACACTGCTCACCTTCTCATCCTGCTGCTCCTCCAGGGCCGGGTCCTCTGACTCATGCAGCAGGACTCCTCCTGGCAGCATCTCCTTGCCCCCTCCAGCACCGTGATGCACAGCCTTGGATTTCTGCTGTTGCTTCTTCATCGGTTCTTCTTTCGTCTTCCCCTTTTTCCCTTTTTTCCCTTTCTCCTCTTTGTTTGACCCTGCAGACTGGGGTTGCACATAAGAGGCAGTCAGAGCCAGCAACTGCAGCATCACAGGGAGGCAGAGCTTCTTTCACTCACCCCCAGCAGCTTCATGATGAGCTCCCGGTCCTCCTCATCCTGATCCTTGTACTTCTCCTTCATCTTCTTCATTTTACTCTACAGAAGAAAGTGCACCAACAGCTTTAGAAACTGACTTTTGCATGGCTTTGCACCCATAAAGAACTAAATGCTGTGCCCACATACACCCCTTTTAGGTCTTC